AATGGGCTTCGCTCTGAGTGATCATTTCAAATGGAAGCATAGTTTTTGCTTTGTTTTGTTTTAAGCAAAGTTTTAATACTCATAAAAAAAAAAGCAGAAACAAAATCACCCCAACTCCTCATACCAGGTCTCTAGTTTGAGACAGGAAGGTAGGACATCTTTGCAGCTGTGGTTAGCAGCTGGCTAAGGCCACGTGTAAACAGCAATTTTCAGAACTGGCATGCATGCTGGGGCTTTTGTAGCGCCAAGGAGTGAGTGTGTGCAGAGCTTTGGTGTTTAGTTAAATTATGGGTCTAGATGTAAAACTTCACAGCGTGGTCTTGAGAGTCTGACCATGCCCTGCTTCCTCATGTGCACACAAGCTGTAGATCTCATTCACACACACACACACACACACACACACACACACACACACACACACACCTATACATCACTTCACAGAGGAACACCCTCAGCCATAAAGAGAGAGACACCTTTGAAGCCTTGTAGCCCTTGTAATCCTGGGTTCGCAGGGCTCTTGGATAGGTCCCTTGTGCCCCCAATGGTGCAAAACACTCCAATATAAGGATTTCCTGCAGCTGTCCACCACAATCCCCAACCAGGATAATTTTAGTGCGCAGTGGCCAGTGTTCAAGACTCCCATGTGTGGAATCTACTGATGTCAAGGGGAAGCTCCACTCCTCTTTTCCACAGCTGGACTCCCTTGGGATGGTCATACCCTGAGATGCATCGGAAGATGATGCCAGTGGTTCATTTGCCAGGTGGAAAGGATTTTTCATAACTCAGATGAGCATAGAGCTGGAGACCAGTGCAGACGTTTTCCTAGGCTCCATTTCCAAGGTCAGGGGAAGGTTACAATTTGGAGGGCTACTGGATCGTTTTGAGGAAATAGAAGCTAGGACTCAGGATGGAGTAGAGTTACCCCTAGCACACACCAGCATGCTTTATTGCACATGAGCACACATGTGCATCCTGAAGTTCTGTGCACGAACCTTGCATGGTGTTTACGCAACTGTGGTGACTCCTGTTTAGTTCTATGGGGAGCTTGAGCACAACATCCAGCCCTCCCTGCTTCCTGCCCTCCTTACTAGTCATGGAGATGGAACAGAAAGAGGGAAGAATGTGTGATTGCAGGTCCTCTGCCTTCTGCATCCCTCGCCAGAATGCAAATCACAGAGTGGTCTACAGCCCATTTGGCAGTAATGGTGTCAAGATTCTTCAAGTAGATCATTTCATTGCCCATCACCCACCCCAGAACCCCTGGTGGGGGAGCTCATGATGCTCCGCCCCCTGCCCCCTGTCTGTGCTCCCCTCTCCTAAAGCAGCTCACCAAGCTAATATTTCCCCTCTGGCTTTTTCACGTCTGGAAGGTTCTGGTGAAACCAGTTTCTTTTGAGTGTTGCCGAGGAGTGAGAGAGCCATTGCTCTGTCTGAGCCGGATCCTAGAAAGGATGTTTTTTAATAACTCTGATGCTTTGGTGCGTTGTCCAGGGCCTGGCTTTTTCTCATCCTTCCAAAAAGGGAAGGGTTTTGTAAAGGCTTTTGGGGAGACACTGTGTAGATTTATGGTGTGCTGCCTGTCTCCGTGTTTAGGGCTCTGTCCTGGCACGCTCACAGCTGCCAGGCAACAGTGGAACGGGTGGGAAGGGATCTTTTCATTTCACCAGTTGCTGAGCTTCAGGAGTTTAGGTGAAGTCAGGGTGGTCGTTTTTTCTTCTCTGGGTTCCCAGGAATGTTTGGAATCTAGGTAGGGCCTCAGCTTCGTGTTGCCCATCTCTAAGCAGTGAGGAGGAGGCATAGTTTCTGCCTTGGAAGGTCCCACCGGAGGTGCTCTTAGGGCCTGGATTAGGATTTTCCTGAGCTCCTGTCAATGTTTCTTTACAGATATTTAATTACTCGGTTGGAGTTTAAAGGGGAGGGGCACTAAATTAAAGCACAGGACCGCCAGATTATTACACAGAAATGAAAAAGTGTTCTCTAAATTACTGAGGTGTAGGATGGGATAATAGGAGTCGATTTGTTTTTAGCGCTATTTGTATAAAATGTTTTTCTGCTGTGCACTTTTCTTAAGTGTAAAGGCTGAATTAAGTAATTGCCTTGGGTTCAGCTGTAGTGACTGCTTAGTGCTGTCTTCAGTGTGCCCTGCTAGACTCTTTGGCGTATAGTATTTAGCTTGGGCCTTTTGGGAGCTTGTACGCTAAGCTGATTATTATATCTCTGTTTTACCGTGGATTGAATTCCAATGTTCTCTTAGAGCCCATGCTCCTGTGCCCAGCCCTTAATGCGTCTGTTGAGTGAATATGTTGGGGAAGTTAGGTTAGTAGAACTTGGCTATTAGTAAATATAGGAAGAGAGTGAAATCCGAAGAAAGCCCACATTAGTTAGCTTTGCTCATGGCTATGGCTGACTGCAATTTGAAGGAGCAGGGATTTACTTCTGGCTTGAGGTTTCAGTTCAGTTTAGTGGAGGGAGCAGCTTCTAGCATGGAGACCTGGGAACCAGTGTAGGGCAGCAGGAAAGAGCGTGAAAATGAGCGAATGTGCCTGGCTTCATTGCGTTTCTCCTTTTCCTACTCTTATTTCAATGGGCCCCTGGCCTTTGGCATAGTTCCTCCGGTACCCAGGCAGGTCATTCCCCTTTCCTGTCAGTCGATGCTAGAAATGCTCTCACAGACACACTCTGCTGATGCCCTCAACTATTGCAGTCTAATCGAGTTCACAGTCCAGATCAACCATGACAGGGCCTTGATAGAGTTTGACCATCAAGGAGATCTTGGTCTATCAGGAGGACTTACAAGCGGGCGAGAAGGCGGATGAATGTCAGGAACAAGAAGAGGTTGCAGCCAGCTCCTCGGGAGAGCCTGGGAGATGGGCACCTCGTTTTGGATCCCCGCAGGATCTTTTCTAGAATGTCCACATTGCCAATTTCATTCTTAGCCTTAGTCGTCAGAAAGAAAAGCAGTGAACGCCAGCTTGAGACTCTTAGGGTTCCTACACAGCAGGAGGACGCAGCTGGCAGGACTCACCGTGTCCTCCTGAAACACTGCTCTAGTTTGGGATCGGCCATTGGCCATGTGACTTTCATGCCCACTGAGAGCTGCCTGTTAAAGCCTAAGCTTCCTGAAGTCTGGACGCCTCTTTATGACTTAGCTAGTTCAGTCTTGAACTCATGAGGGTTGGGTGGCAGAGGTCACAGGGGGCATTTTGTGGATCTGGTACAGCACCTTGTGGAGTAGAAGAGAGAATCCCAATCCAAGAGAGTTACAAGTGCAGTGAGACACCGGTGCTGGGTGATTTATGGTGTCTTTCTATTCCAGCATGTCAGCAGCGTGCCTTGGATGTGCAACGTGAATATTGAGTGATTTGTTTTGGGTGGATTGGTTCATTGTCTTATCAAATATTTTGAGGATCCTAGTGTGATAGCTATCCAGGAAAGCGTGTTGCCAGTCCTGTATCCTGCTTCCACCACTAATAGCGTAGATGACACCTATTTTTTTTTATGGTGAATCTTGGTGTCCACTGAATTTTCCTACTTTTTTTCAATTATTTTATTAACTCCCACCCCCCCTTTTGAGACATAATCTCAGCAGCCTTAAACTCTGCTCTCCTCCAGCCTCCTGAGTTATGTGTGCAGAGTTGTGTACCTGCCTTTTCAGTTTTAAATTTTAACATCAAAACCCCTACTAACACAAATATTCCAAATTCAGTCTTCTCCTTGATTGTTTATTCCTCTTATAGGACTTGTGGTCCTTGCCCTAAGCAATTTGTGTGATATGACTTCCTTCTTCCTTTCTTTTGGAGCTGGTCCCATTCTAGAACATGGGCCATAATTTGCTAATTTTTGCCCTCAATGGATTTCAGTGTTAGCTTCTTTTGCAAGGCCCTGTTGTTGTTGTAATAGAGGTCCTGCAGAGTCCATGCCTGGACATTCAATCAAGAGAGTGGTTTAGCCTGAATCTGCTAACTTTGTGTGTGTGTGTGTGTGTGTGTGTGTGTGTGTAGCTGTGTGTGGCTGGTGTCAGGTGACTTTACAGGAGGTGAGACTAGTGTTAGGCTGGCTGGGATAGCACATGGATATTTTGGAGCTAGAAGAAGGTCATGGAAATTTGGAGACTAGTTGCAGCTTGCCATTGGGAAGGCCTGGGAGTGGAGAGGCGTTGCGGGGAGAAAGGCCTGCGAGCATAGCGGTGTGGAAGCCTGGAGGTTAGTGAGACTGGCAGAGGGCTCACTGAGTGAGCTGCAGGCAGTCCAGGGGCCTTGGAAGGCCTTCAGGGCAGGGCTTGCAGGGAGGTCCCTGAGTGCCAGGTCAGCACCTGTCTTATCGTCAGGCATAGGCCAGCATGAGAAGAGCTGAACGTAGAAAGCCCACACCTCCTTTGAATTGTATGTACATTTTTTTTAAGTAAGGAGGACTGAGCCAAAGCCTTGAGCATTTGAAGCAAGAGCTATCCCTAGTCCGTATGTATTCAATTAAACACCAGTTTATTAGTTCCTTGAGAAGCTCGTGAAACAGGCTTTGATCATGTTCATACCCCTCCCACAACTCTTGCCAGCTCCACCCCCTTTCTCTACCCATCCAATTTTTTTTTTCTAGTTACCCACATCATCTTGGGGCTGTGGTCCTAAGTGACAAGGTTTTGGCTACTATCTGAGCATCTTTACGCATCTAGCTGTGTTTTGTTTGTGTCTCTTTGATTTTAAAATAGCCTGCTGTGGGATTTTTCTTGGTATGGTAATGAAGCCATGTTTTGTGGCCACAGAGATCCTGGGGGCTCCTCTGCTGTCAAGAAGTTCCAGTCTTCTCTGGTAGGCTGAATGCCTAGGCTAATGCATACTGACTGACTCTAGCGTCCTTAACTATCTAATGGTCTGGTTCCCGAGGCCAGCGGAGATTCCAGACTTCCTGGAAGAACATGGAAGCGAGGCTTGTTGAAGTGTCTTACCCAACCATGTTTCTGATAACCTGATTAACCTGTGCCCTCCTCTTGTCATCTCTTGCAGATGGTCACAAGAACAAAGAAAATATTCGTAGGAGGATTATCTGCTAACACTGTGGTGGAAGATGTCAAGCAGTATTTCGAGCAGTTTGGCAAGGTAAGCGCTGCCCGTGGGTGGACCGTGCCGCCCATGGGTGTGGGTGGATCCTCCGATGCAGCTACCTGGGCCTTTGCTATAGCCGTGTCTTCTAGAACTGGGTCCTTGAACTTCCTGTCAGGATCTACGTGAAACTCCAGGCGCTGCAATGAGAGAGTCCGGCTTTGGTTGGCATGGAGCCTTGTGCGCCTGCAGGCGCACACAGAGTGGCCTTTCAGTACCATTTTGCTCCCGTTTGCCAGCCACATGGGGCCAGGACTGGGAAAGGATGTGGGGCTGTGACTCACAGGGCACAGGCGCCCACAGAAGCTGTGAGAGGTTAAACCCCATGAGCCAGTGCTGGGATTCCTCATTCCTTGTATTCCTGGAAAATGGCATTCAGAGATGAGGGTCTCTGGGGCCCTTGGCTGCAGCCCAGGGAGACTCAGGAATGATGTCTGCTGTGCTGATGATCATTCTGACCAGAGTACTCACGAGACAGAAGCAAAATGACACCCTGTGGTATACTGTTAGGACTAGGAGTCCTCAGTCAGCGTGAGAAGGTCCGGGGGTTAGATAGACATACGAGATGAATATCCGTGGGTGATGTCTTTGTCAGCTGCTTTTTCATTGGTGAAAGAGGCAGTGGCATATGAATGGGTCCTTCCTGAAGGTGGCTATCTCCTCAGATGTCATGCTGCCCTGCACAGTGCCCTGCCCTGTGCCTTTGTGTGGTCCCCTTTCTCTAACTCCCACAGAAGCCATAGATCTAAGAGCTTGGCAGGTGAATGGCTGAGCTGGCCCCCACTTCCTGATTCTTTGAGTAATCGTGGGAGTTGTCATGGGAGCCCAAGCATAGAAGCGACTCCTTCCATCATAGGTCTGCTTCTTCCCTTCTGGCAGGCTGACGTGGCAGAGCTCTGTGGTACCCTGGGAAGGTGCAGTGCCCACTCAGAGCTTTTATCATTCATCTCCTCCCACGATGGTTGTCCTGTTTGCCGTAGGCCAGGACAAGGGCACTGCCACCACTCATTGGCCTGAAGGTTCTATGCTTTGCTTGCTTGCCCAGGGCAGTAGACAGCCATGACTCAGTCACCATCATGTCTCTCTATGTCCACCGCCTGAGGTGAGGGTGTATGACCTTTGTTTAGCTTTGAATTGAACCCCCTACCCCCGCCCTGTCTCTTGTATGAATCAGTCTCTGCATGGATGGGGGAAGCCATACAACAAAGAGCAAACAGCATCTTCCAGTTCAGCTATGCATTTGAAATGGCACGGAGTTACCCACCTAGATGGGTTTTGAAGGAGGCCTTCCTCATCCTCCTGAATGTCCCGCCTGGGGGCTGACTCATTCTGGGTGGCTCACAGGGAAAGCAAAGTGTGCTGATGGCCACCGGAGTCACAGGGCTTCTCTTTCCAGGAGCGATTTATGACACTAGAGGGAAGTATCCATCACTGGCCCCTCCCTGCATAGGGAGAAGGATTGGAAGTAATTAAATGAGACAAGTCCTTCTTGCACCGTAGTCTGGACGGTGGGCCCTCTCGCCGTCTTTCTACCTTCAAATTGAGTCCAGGGGTAGTGTTTGCAAACACGAGGCGGGATTTCCTTTTCGAGCCGTAACCTGCCTTGGAATCTCATAGGCCCATTTGCAGGTGTCAGGGAGGTTGCGGCTGCCTGGATGAGCTGTTACTGTATTCCAGACAGGCTTATACTTGCCGCAGACAGCGCATCTCTGCACATCCTCGGCCTCGCTTGCTTTCCTCTCAGACCTCTCCCTCTTCCTTCCTTTCTTCCTTTTTGCTGTTTCTCATGAACACTTACAGTGACTCAGAGCGTCAGCAGTGGGTGTGCTGCAGCCTTTGGCCTTGCCCCTGGCAGCTTTCAGCACTGCCCTGAGAACAGTTGTCCCTTTGTCTCGGCAGCAGCCACAGACCCAGACCATCTTAGCTAACATGGCACTCGCTGAGTCGGATGCTGCTCAGTTAATTGTGTAGTAATATTTGTGGATTTTCACGGGATGCATAAACTTATGGAGTGTTTTATTAAAGGACTAAGGAGGCTTTTGAATGTATCAAAACCTGTAAGACTCTGTACTCACGAGCTCCTTTCATCCATACGCTCGAGTATTATCTAGGCTTGCCTTCCGAAGAGCTTCTTTGTCATTTGCTAGAGTCTAGTGTTCCGCCTGTGGCCCCTGGGGCAGGGTTCACTGCCTCTCTGGATTCTGGTCTCGTTCATTTGAATCCAGAATGATCAAAGTAGAGAGAGTCTCTGGGTAGGCCTTGGGGACCGTGAGTCAAAACCAGCCACTGCAAAAGGTCCTAGTGGGTAAATTGACACACCGATTTTACCATTTGTTAAAGTATATTCTGGTGTGTGTGTGTGTGTGTGTGTGTGTGTGTGTGTGTAGACTGCTACATGAAGCATTCTCACAGCTTGCATGCACACACACATGCCTGTGTGTGGTTGTTTGGGGCTGTCTTGAAGCAGATTGGCGAGGTACAAGTTTACTGCCTCTGAGGAGCACTACTAACGTTGGGTCAAACCATTTCCTTACATTATCTTGTTCAATTTTCCTCTGGGAGATAGATTGTGGCACCCCTGTGTTTCAGATAAACAGGATTCTAGTGCTGGCCGGAGAGGAAGACTTGGTGTCTCTTCAGTATCCACCAAGGGTTGGGTAAGGGGAGGATGGGGGTAGAAGTGGGGGGTGTTAAACTTGCACTTCCACACCCTATCTGCATGGAGAAAATCCATGTCCTGTAGCCTCCTTGATTGGGAGGATGGTAGAGACCACGGGGTTGAAGTTTGAGCGACAGTGCACACCCAGCTTCTTCTCCTCTTCCACATCTGCACTTCCATCTCACTGCAGCCTCCATGCAGGGTGTGCCACGCTTTTGGCTTCACTCCCCATCATTTGCCATCCTTTCCCTTTTTCTGTCTTGCCTGAGGTGGCAGCTGCTCTGTTTATTTCAGGTGGCAGTCAACACGGACAGGACTGCTCTCAAGGGGCTGAGCTAGGGGGAGTATAAATATGTCATTGCTGTAAGTGGAGTGTGTGTGTGTGTGTGTGTGTGTGCGTGAGAGAGAGAGAGAGAGAGAGAGAGAGAGAGAGAGAGAGAGTTAGATTGAAATAACTCAGAATGGAGGCCTAACAACCTTTTTTGTTTTTTCCCATCTTCCTCTCAGAAGACCTGCCCCATTAAAAATGCTGGTACTTGTTTATACTAAAATGTGGTCATAAAATGAAGCTGACGGCACAGGACTTAGCAAATTTAAAAGGCTACTCTTCCCCACTAGGTGGCTACTTCTGGTGCCTTCCATGGAGAATGGCAAAGTAGAAGGTATTCCAAGACTTTCTTGCTGGGCCTGACTATGGAATGATCTCCAGCAATACCTTGGCAGACTTTGGTTCTGGCCTCAGTTTCCCTACTGGGGAAACCGTTGACAGATTTGTGAAGGCTAGAAAATTGCTTTGCAACCCATATGGTCTCTATTGTAGCTTCAGTTATCGTTGGGTGAAAATATCTGCAGCCAGCATGTAAACAGATGGCTGTGGTTGTGTTCCAATAAAACTTGATAAAAACAAACAGAGAGCCAGATTTGTTGACCCCTGAACTGAATTATCCCTAAGGCTGGCTTTAAACTGTGAAAAGTCCTATAGAAAGTGTATAACTCTAAGTAGATAGATTATAACCCAGTGTATTTGTAGGCTAACAGGAGAATACATTGCTTACAGTAGCGAGCATGGTATGTAGTAAGCAAACAGACCTCAGCACAGTGAAGTTTATTCCTGGGCTTCGTGATGCAGGGCAGTGCATCTCGATTTGAGACTACATTCTTTATTTGGAAAAGGGCACTATTTATAATCTGGAATCTTCGTCCTATGAGTAAGACCCAGAAAAACTGAGTGAGTTACTTTCAGTCTTCCTGTTCCAGGCACAAGGTCTAAATGATCAAAACTCGTGATGTTCCGAATTTAGTCTTAAATTCTCCTGTGTGCTGGTGTTTCTGCTTTACAGTTACATGTGTTTGGTGCTAAGCTTTTAATGCATTTTAAAATGTGTGTTCAAGGATGTTAAGTGAGTCGCATGGCATCTCCACTATGTGGGTGAAGAGAAAGAAGTTGCCTAAGGTCACACAGCCCAGGTAAAGCCTGGGTGGGCACTTGTGGCATAAGCTAGCCTCTGCACTCTTGATAGAACCCTGCCTCCCGCCTTGGCAGTCAATAGGCTCTCCTGCACAGGGAGCACGGTTTATTCATTTGTCAGAAACGCTGATCTCCAGTAATTTATTTAACTGCCTTGGTTATTCGGTGAACATTATCTGTGTTCATGATTTCATACATCCAGGAATGATGTATATGGACCATTCCAAAACCTGGCAGATGACAGATGCTATGATGTGCCGGAGCAGAGCCTCTCCAGAGTGCTCGCTCATCTCTTCCCCAAAGTGCCCTGGGCTGGAGAGGCCTCCCTCCATTACTTTCCTCCCTCTTCTCTTTGGGCCCCTCCTTCAAGTTCCACTCTCTCACATTCTTGGAAGGGATTTGGGATCAAAGAAGACTTGAAGCAGAATGACCCCTTTGCCTTACCCTGGATAGAGCAGAAAGTTTCCCACTTCTTAGCTGCTCCCGAGATGCCAGGGCAGCTCCAGTGCCCAGCTCTGCCCAGCTCGCTCAGCTCGGCTCGCTAGGTGATGCTGACTTTACAGGACTCCAGTGAGAACCATGGAGGCTTCCAATTATACTTCGCATGGCGAGCTGTGTAATTAGTTTGGAAGACTTATGCTTAGTCATTGGTTTATCCTAATCGGCTTTGGCTTTTCCCAGCAACAAAGTGAGCTTATTTTGCTAAGCTGAACCGACTCTGCACCCTTTGTCTTGCCGTTTATTGTCTCATTCCTTTCATTCTGTTTTACTGCCAAAGTTCTGTTTCATTAGGCCTACAAGTCATTTCCAATCCAGTGGGCTGCTACAATCCAGCCTTTATCACCCGCTGCCCTGGTTCCCATGTCCCTT